CCGAGCCCTCACACAACTCCCACAACTCAGGCATAATCTGCAGCACTGGAGTCACAACCACATCATTGCCCAGTCCCTCGGAGGCTGACGACGGCGAATGGCCTCTAGCACGAGGGGAGAAACGACCATGAAGCTCGGCACCCAACTCGACCTCGAAGTTGTCAACAGGCACAACCAAAGGACGCAATGCATGATCAGACCGCAACACAGGTGGCGCCATGGAGCGCTCACCAAGTGCAGCCTCAACACGGACCATGAAGGTCTCCATCCGCAACATCCAACCTTGCATGGAGTCAATGACATCACGCAGAGGCTGAACCGTCTCCTGAAGCTAGAGGGAAGTCATACCAAGGAGCTCAGAGCGCAGCAGCTTGGCCTGGTGCTCCAAGGCAGGTCGCACTGGGAAATCCGCCGAGGCCATAGAACCAGTAGGACCAGCAACGATCGATGCCCAAGAATCATGGCAAAATGTCTTCGAGAGGTGCGAGGCTTCTTTCTGGACCTTGCGAGGAGCTAGAGCTTGTTGGTGCCCGGGAAGGCGTGGCAACGGTGACATGGTAGGGCTTCCCAAAAAGCTGAGGGGACGCCAGGCATTGCGGCACTCACGCGTTCGATGACCATTCTCAAGGCACCGAGAACACCTAAAAGGATCTCGACAAACCGCTGTACGATGACCAAGAAGGAGGCATCTGCAACATCTACCCCAAAGCCAAGCAGGGACAGGACGGGGAGCCAATGCAGGGACCAGAGAATCCAGACGTTGCATGTTGCGCCGCGACAGCACCTCCTGCCAATCTCCGCACGCATCCGCACCACACGTCACACCCGACCGAGTAGCCGGAGCTGAGGATTTGGCAGCCGGTGGCGGCGTCCGCAGGGCTATTTCATCATCATCCTCGTCTTCTTCGTCGTCGGTAAGGGAGCTCCACGAAACAGATCGCTCCGGGTCCAGACTCGGTGCAGTGCCGGCAGGTGTTGATGACGGCGTCACTTCCACGGCAGTGGTGGGCGATGTAGCACAGCCAGCAGCAGTCGTGAACGGCGCTTCAGCAGTAGCAGCCGGTGATGACGGCGGGGCTTCCGCAGGGCCCAAGAACGACATAGCAGCGCCGGCAGTAGACAGGGACGGCACGCCCACAGCAGCAGTCGGGGTCGGGGTTGACTGCACGGTGCAGGAAGGGAGACACCCAAGCCCGCCATCCATCAGACCAGGGGCACGGGGATCTGGAGCAGCACACGCTACGCCCAGGCTGGACATTGCGGCAACGCCGGGCAGGGGAGGATGCGCCGCCGGAGATGCAGCCACACTCGGCCTCGGCGGGAGTCCAATGCCGGCGCGGGACAAGCGACCACCAGCTGTGGGGGCGGCCTTGCGGAAGGCAAGAGCAGCCGCGGCCATCGCGGCGGCAGCAGTTGAGGCGGCCGACGGAGTCGGAGATGACGACGCGGACGCGAGCGCCATGGGCAGCACCTTGAGTGCCTGGAGGGGAGAAGGAGCGCAGCCGAAAAAGGACGCGGAGACTAGCCCGGATCTGGCCTCGGCGCTCGAAATGGCGGCCGGAGGGAGGAGATCAAGGCGGCGCCGCCGGCCGCGGGCGCTGGGTCGCAGGAGCCATTAGTACTCCTAGTTCGGGCTGTCAAGACTGCACAACCAAATATCAGTTCCGGGAACCAAAATCTTGGCCCCAACGCACCCTTCCATTCCAACTCATCTCTATCATCTACTGTAATGCCTCCTTGATTCTAGGGAGCTGCACCACTACACAACCTCGACTTGCATTGCATGTCTACGGAGGTGAACGTACTCTTTTCAGACGAGAACAATGATGTGCACCACATATATAGGAGTATGATCCAAACCTAAGCTTGAAGCATCATATGTAATCCTGTGGATCATGGTAATTATGGAGCACTACCCTAGACGTCAAAAGATGGCCAACCGGCCAAAGATAAAAGGGAGGAACATAATTATGCACGGTGCAAGTGAAGCACGCATCCCGTACAAGGATATCTTTTGCCCGGATTCTCACAGGACTGCCAGTTTCGATTCAACCTACAGACCTTCAGTCAGTTGGCATGCTGAACTGTGCCTCTTACAGCATAAAGGTAGTATTCCCTCCGTCCGAAAATACTTGTCATCAAAATGGTCAAAAAGGGATGTATCTAAAACTAAAATACATCTACATACATCCCCTTCCATTCATTTTGATGACAAGTATTTCCGGACGGAGGGAGTACTAAGTAGCAGTAGTGGTAAAGATGAATCACCAGGAAGACTTCGCTTGCCTATCCCAAGATAGTTGAACAAGACAACACCCAAGTGTGTCAGTCAGAACTGTCTGTTGATGTCCTAGAGGTGGTGTACGTTCTACAGTACTACTCCCTCAGTAAAGAAATATAAGAGAGTTTAGTTTAGATTACTAGTAGTGATCTAGACGCTCTTATATTTCTTTACGGAGGGAGTATTAAACAGCAAAATGCAAAATGGCAGGCAAATAATTCCATGGCTTGATGGCCACTGCAACGCACAGATCGTTATTGTTCGGAGCGTGAGAGGCACCCTGTGTGACCGTGCAAGGAACATTGTAACCTAACAGAAGTGTGAGCACAAAGAAAACCCTTGAGCATCATGCAGCTTGGGAGGCTAATCCAACTGCTCAGATTATACATGGCATAACATCTCAAGAAATTCAGTTTTATTGTCAAAGCAGGTATATATGTCAATGGTTACTGTGCAGAACAACCAAGAACAGTTCAGGCGTTCAGAATTATTTTGCACTCCTTGTCCTTGCCCATCTTTACACAGCTTGAATACTGGATGCCTGGTTAATGCTTAAGCTTATAAAGAGATTGCCAACCACTGCTATCGTTTTAAATCTAACATGATTGCCAACCACTGCTATCGTTTTAAATCTAACATAGTGTGAGAAATATCGTCTGCCAATGCTAGAAGATAGGTCAGACACTGTCGATATTAACTAGCTTGCTTGATGCCTGACTCAAGGTATGAGATCACAAGGTCCGCTGTGTTACTTCCTGAAGCTATGACATTTCCAACAGCCAACCCATCCTTGTTATTTCCTACAAGACATCAAAGTTAAAGTTATAAGTTTAACATCTAAGTGTCATCACTTGGTGGGATTACTATTTCTGGTTTGATTGCTCTACAAATTTCCGACAAGACTGCTTTCAGATGTTATACATGCATTCTTTTGTTAGAGCTTCATTTCCAGCAGACCAAGGAGCACCATAAATTTTCATGAGAAGTAACAAAAGTATGGTAGCTTTATTGACTTGCCTGCATAGAAGAACCCTGGAAGATCACTTTCCATCTTTCCTATAGCTTCCAGTGCCGAATCATAATCATGGCCATACAAAGGAAAAGCATCTCTCCAATGTATATGTCTGAGTAACATAAGAAATACTAATAAATTACATGAGCATGAGACAGTGAAACAAATTGTGCACATTCTGAAATTCCCTAGAAGATGGCAAACCACAACACAAGCACAGGAAGGGAAAGCATATAGGCCGATATGCTTGAATACTTACTTCACAAAAGTTGGCTGCCCCTCTACCCCCAGTAGCTTTGTAAGGTCAGATGTCACAAATTGTTTCAAGGTAGCCCTGCAGAAGTAAAAAAAATTGGAATAATGTGCTTAAGAAAAGGAGCATAATACAATATCAAAAGGTTTTTACGTTGGAGCAGCAGCGAGATCTCTATTGTGGCTTCCCCCAATGAATGTCGTAAACAAGTACTGGTCATTAGGAGCTCGATCTGGGAACATCATAGAGGAGAAGAGAGTTCCTATACAAGAGACAGTCACGCACGTATAAATGAGGCTATGTTCTAGGAAAAAAGATGTAGTATGAAGCAATATAAAATCAGAATAGACAAATCACGAGTACACGAAAACTGGTAAAACAAGATTGTTTTGTGTACCGAACTGAGTGCAATGGTACTTCTGTAAATTGAAACAGTTCAAGTATAAAGCTGAGGAACCTACCAAGCGTTTTCAAACCATGTTTTTGTTGTTCCTTAAAGGGTATCAAGACCCCAAATCCTTCCAGGGGTCTTTTGACGTCTTCCTTCTTAAATGCTGTTACCATGAGGGACAATGGCAGATAATCCACCTACAAATTAAATATGGATTGAAGTTATAAGAAGCCCGTGTATTTTATGACACGACATCAGTCACACATCTTTACAAAAAAGAAAGAAAGAACGAAACATCGTCATAAATGTGATGTTGTGATACAATAACTCGTAGGCTCTAACAACACTTACTACGGTGTAGTGATTTGATCTCCAAGTGCATATATATCAAGAAAAATATAAATAATAGCGATACTGGTACTGGTACAACAGAGCATCTTAATAGTGGAAATGTGATTCCATTATGTCATTGTCTTGAAATCATATAAATTCAGGAAGCAAGGAATCCTTTCATGATGGAGAAGCAATATAACTATCTTAATTTCAATTATGTATTCATGGCAGTAAAACAGAGTAGGGTATGTCTAGCTTATATTCTTAATTACCAATATATTTCCAAAATATGTGTCACTCATTTGTCCAGAAACAGGAGTTACTTAAAGTGCTAGCAAAAGCACTGAATACTGAAATAGACCATATCACTGATCTACTACTGTTTTCGTAGAGTTACTTTTTCATGCATTAATAATAAATACAGTTAGTCTGGCCGCCTTCTGAAATAGACCGTATCACTGAACTACTACTATTTTCATAGATCCATTCGTGACAAGGTACGAGAATGAATCGTGTATATTCAAATGTACAAGCAACAACAAACAGCAACAACAAAGCCTTTCAGTCCCAAACAAGTTGGGTAAGCTAGAGTTGAAACCCATAAGATATCGAAACCAAGTCATGGTTCTGGCACGTGGATAGTTAGCTTCCACGCACCCCTGTCCATGGAAAAAAAAACCCAGCAATATGGCTCTTGTAGTGATAGACCTGAAAAAAATGATACAATTTTCCCCTGGCACCAATTTCTTTACAAGAGCAACCATTCCAATTATTGCATTTGTTAATCTAAATTGTTGATCCTAACCTGACCTTAGGAAGAAAGTCTAGCACAAAGGGAGCTCCGCCTTTTGTGAACCTCATCCTCTGGACATTGGACAGTGGAGCCTGCAGAGGGGAAAATGCAAGAGGTACATAATTTGGTTTTGTGACCTACGTTCAATAGTTATAATAGCCAGTCATGCATGAGTGCAGAAATATTAAGTATATTTTATAGATTGGCAGAAAGCAAATTTACCAGATTGTGTATAAAATGAACTTCGAAAAATAATGCAGATGAGTGATTCTTACTGTCATTATAACAGCATCAAAGGACTGGTTCTTTGCAAGTCCCTTACTAGTAGCATCTTTTGAATCCACAAAAATTGACCACCCATCTGATGCAGATAGTTCATCGCACTTACACGCCAATGACAACACTTGTGTTCCAAGCTTCACATTATTATCTCCAACCTCCTTGTGCAAAGCATCTACTAGTGTCTGCAAAGCATTCAACAACATATGACTTCTAAAAAACAGATGTTAATATTAAGTATGCACCAACCAGTAGAATCAAAAGTCTGAACTGATGGATGGAAAAGGTTGGACAAACCACATATACTACAACACCCCCTCTCACGCGTGGTTCGATAAGGCCTAAACGTGGACAGAGGGAGGGCAAGCAATATTTCCATTTAAATTGCAAAATCTGAGACTTGAATCCAAGGCCTCTTGGCTTTGATACCATATTAAGTTTCATGTACCAACGAGAAGAACCAAAAGTCCAAACTGATGGAGAAGGTTGGGCAATCCACATATACGTCCCTCTAGTGTGGCTCGATAAGGCCTAAACTGGCCATGAATGTTGTGTGATTCCACCATGCAACTATTTTGTGATGTTAGCCCATTTGTATCGTAGCTGCCTTTGACTTATTTCTCATCTTGCAATATTGTTTCTCGACAACTACGTAGCTAAACATATTCATACACTTGGTCATATATTTGGGCTTTTGTTTGACATAGCTTTAACTAATATCCGCAAGCTAATAAACTTGTGCCAAGTCAATACAGAAAGCAGCAACGATCATGACAGGGTGTAAATGGATCGCTAAGCTGTACGATGGATATAAACATGGCAATATTCCTGGCTTGTGAAACTTAAAATAGTGATGCTGGTTCATCAAGTGAACATGCATCCTTGAATGGCACAAAAATAAACATTCTTTCAGTGACCAAGTAAATGCAGCTCTTTCAAATGGGACAGATGGAGTTTTTCCTTTTTTAGGGAACACAGATGGAGTTAATAGGGCACATACACGGTTTTTTTTTTCTATGTTGTTGACACTAACAAAGGAAATGACATGACACCATTGAAGGAATACCTGCATACCACCATGAAAAGAAAATGAGGCCCGCTTGCTCCTTCCTTTTCCTGACGAAGCGCCTCCTTTCTTTGCTGAATCACCTTTAGCTGTTAGTTTTGACAAGATGGCACCAACGATGAGAGAACCATACCTGAGAGCATTGAAGGAGTATGAATCACCATAACTGGGAATAAAATATTGTTGCTAGCCAAATTTACGACAACAACATGCTTTAGTGTAAATGACAAGTTGAAACCGCAAAAATAGTGAGTCCCATTTGAAAAAAAAAACTAGTATTATCATGATAGCAAAAAAAATTCTGAATAATGGTGTTGTAGCCCTTATATTTATAATAATTTATGTCGGCAATTTGTATAGGCATGGATTGATGTTCAAAAAGATGCATACCATCGGGCCAATTAGAAAATATTTCACTCGAAATGAAAAGTACAATATGGTTTCGGGAAGATGCATATTATTGGACTAATTAGGAAATATTATCTTAAATGAAAATTACAATATGATTTTTTGTTCTAGAAGATGCATATTATCAGGATAATTAGGAAATATTTCTCTCAAACAAGTCAGTTCTGTTGCATAGCCAATTAGTCCAACTCCATCAGTAAAAGTAGAAAATAAAGTAATATTTGGAGAAAAGCAGAATATCAAATAAAGAGGAAAACACAAGTAGATAGTGCACACATAAGCAGTATTAAAGGGTGAACATTCCGTCAATGCCCAATTCAAGGAAGTCCAACAGGTAAAAAGAAAAGCAGCTAACAGCAGGACCCAAGAAAGCAATGCAAGAAACAAGGATATCTGAAAATGTCATTAAAAGGACATCTTCACTTGTAGAATTTTGACATAGCTTAAACTGATACAATGCTCTACAGCATTATGTAATAAATGTGAATACATGCTGTAACATAAAAAAATGCATGGCAGATAGCAAATGCAAAAACATGGACAAGACAACAAATGAAAATGTAGAAGTGAGAATAGATCACTGCGAGCAAATAAAAAATGTAAAAACTTACTTCTTTTCTAAATTCCATAACCCTGGAAATGCATGACGAATCTGCAAAAAACAGTTGTTACTCAAAGCCAGACAGTTAATTAACAAGGTGAATATGGTCTGGAATAATAATTATTAGATTATCAACATTAAGCAAGCATCACATGGAAAAGCTCATATGCTGTTTGTGCACATAATGCAGTAGTAACTTACAGATAATGACTCGGGATCTCCTGCACTTGTTCCAGCTACAAATGGATCAATAAGATAGTCAACAACCTGTAATCAACATGGAAATTCTTAGCCATGGCTGGTTACGATATGAGCTGCAGAGCTTTTAACTGTATATGATTGAATTATTGATGATCTGTAAGGAAAGAACTCACCTCTTTTCCAAAATGGCGTTCAAAAAAACTCCCAACGCTGTAAAGTTGTCAAAACAGGGACATTCAATTATCTCCTTTAAACAAATAGTACATACTACAAACAGTCATGGTGCGCTATATATGCCTTTCCCCTACATAAAACCGCAAGCAGAGGCTTAAGGAACACTAGAGTACTAGACAGCCTCTCGAATCCTAAAAACTTCATACGGAAGGTAACCATTTATTATCTTGTTAGCATTTGGCATCTACACCAATGCAAAACACCAAGTGTGAAGGTTCACCTCTCGCGCAAATGCTCGTCAGACACTTTTTTGGAGTTCCTTGTGCTAGATTTTTCATAGAGAAATGGTTCCAGAAATAACTTGAACTGCAAGGGTAAGAAAGAATTTAGAGCAGAATCAAATTTGAAAGAAAAAGATCTGGAGAATCTACAAATTGTCAATTAGTTACTGAAACCAGCTAATTCAGGTCATCATCATGGTGGGCATTGACACTAGCAATCGATAAAATGTTTGTATTTGATATGCATTCCAATCTATCAGTGGCACTGGCAATAAATAACTCATTTAGAAGGGGTTAGTGTGCCATGTAACATGTACTGTAGACTGAAGTAGTTAGTACTAAATAGCAGGATATACCTTTGATTTTGTAGAAAGAACAGTGCTTTTCATTAGCGCAATGGGATCTGAAGGGATCTGATGGAACAAAAAGGAGAATACTCAAGGGTGAGCTACAGTAAGAAAAATGGAAAAGGAGATGCATGATTACATGGAAAACCTATACCAGTGCTGGCGCTCCATTCTTAACAGTATAACGCTTGTGCTGGGAGTTAGGCTGAAACAGGCATTGAACTTATAAGGTAATTCATTGATGGGACCAATTTACGACGACAATACAGAATGCAAACATAACTAATTATTCGGAGATAGCATTGGCACATACATACTGCAGTCTGTCCTCAAGACCAAGATCGTCGATTAGTCTACTAGCCTCCAATGCACTTTCTGTCTGCAGGTAACGGAATCAAGTTATGTCATCAGCTAATCTTCTAGGTTCCATTTCAGTTTTGAATTCTAGTAAGGAGAGGAGTGCATGCCCCATCAAGAGAGACCAACAGCAAACACAAACACATGCTTCTTATATATAGTAGCAAGCAATTGCGACAAGGAGCACTAAGCCATAATGTAGACAGGTCGCACCATTCGCCACAATCCGTGGCATACAGAGACAGCGACGCACAGCACCACAAGTTAGTTAACAGACAGAAATGGGCTCACCATGGTGTTGGCTCCTTCGTCCCAGAGGAATCCGCCGTCGGAGTTGGTCCGTATCTTCCCTCCCGCGCGGTCTTCCGCCTCGAACACGGTGACCCGCACGCCGCTCTTCCTCAGCCTGTACGCCGCCACGAGACCACTGCACGGACCAACCATTCCGTCAAACACTTCACGTGCGCGAGCGCAAAACCACCCGAGAATTCGGCGCGAAATCGTGTGGCCTCACCTGACGCCGGCGCCGACGACAGCGACCGACCTGGCGCGGGGGTCGTCGGAGGCGGCCATGGCGAGCACGGGGCGGAGGCGTCGCCCGCGCGCGGAGGCGAAGCGGGTGGGAGCGTGGGACGAGCAGGAGGAAGAGGAGGGGGGAGCGGTGGCGGAAGTGAGCATTTGATTCGGGGTTTGGATGGGGAGAGGAGTCGCTCGTCGCTTTTCTCCGTCGCTGTCGCCGATCGGAGCCGCGGAGTAGTAGGTAGGAGGGTGGGTAGACCAGTCAGTGGGTCGAAACCGGAGGCAGCGCCCTGGTTATGCCACGACACCTGCTCTCCGTCGTCGCCTTCGCAATGCCATCGGCTGTTTCGGGAGTAGGAGTACGTACTACTAGCACGAGAACTAATTACATTTTACTCGGACGGGAGAAGAAGCTCTTCTCTTCTCCCAGTCGCAGTTGAACGTCTGTACGATTTCGCTAGTTGTATTTTACACATGGAGCTTCACGAGCAGTCGAGCACACACATTTTTGGTGAATGTGACGATACAGTACCACCACACATTCTACAGGGTCACAGTTTACACTTGTCGCCGCCGCCGCCTGGCGTCGTCCACTTTTTGATGAGGCAGGTGATGACCCTGGCCAGCCGCTTGGACTTGGACCTGCTCAGCCGCGCCGGCGGCTTCTTGCCCTCGCTGCTCTGCTCGGACGCCGCCGTCTTCCCCGCCGCCGCCGCGGCCTCCTCCTGCTGTTGTTGCTGCTGCTGCTCTTCCTCCTCCTGTTCCTGCTGCGCGGCGGCCTGGCTGGCCACCTCGAGCAGCTCCACCCGCGGCTGCTGCTGCTCCAGCTCGCGCTGCCGCTGCTCCCGGAACAGCCGGAGCAGCTTCTGCGCCTTGTCCTTGGCCTTGCCCGTGCCGTTCGCCGTCAGGGACACCAGCGCCGGGATCACGCCCTCCTGCAGCACCGTCTGGCTGCACCCCTCGTCGCCGTTGCAGATCATCCACAGGCACGACACCGCCTTCTCCTGCTCCGCCGCCTCGCCGTTGTCCAGGATGAACACGATGTCGCCCACGATGGCCTGGTTCGCCGCAATCTCCTTCTTCCCGGCCCAGGTCAGCGCCAGGTTGATCAGCAAGGTCAGGGCCTGGTCCGTCCACGACGACGACGATGGCGCCAGGACGGTGTGGATGCTGTGGACGACGCCCGACGAGAGGAGCGCCGGGATGTTGGGCGCGTGCAGGGACAGGTTGTACAGCGTCAGGAGCGCGTCCAGCCGGCACGTGTCGCTCCGGTACCCTTCTTCTTGCAGGCACCTGATCAGGACAGGGATGACTTGGCTCGAGCCGATGATGGCCTGCGCCTCCTCCAGACAGGAGAGGTTGAGGTACATCGCCACCGCAGCCTCGCAGGTCTCCGGTTTCTGCATCATCTGCTCCATCAGAGGGATAACTCCAGCTGAGAGCAGCTGCCGCTTGTTCCTGCAAGGCAAACATAGAGCTGAAATGATCAGGCCAAAGAACTGAGCTAACATCATCTGATCTACCTATGCTTGTTACAAAGAGCCTTTTCTCTGATACTGTGATTTGAGGGAGATTCTTTTTTTTTTTTTTGATTTGAGGGAGAGAAAAAACAGAAATGAATTATCTATATGTGATATTTACCTGTTATTGCTGACGGCAAGATTGAAAAGAGCCATTGTTCCGACCTCCTGAGATTGCACGTCTTCTCTGCTGAGAGCCATCTTCAGGAAGCAGGTGAGTGGCTCAGTAATACCATTAGCACCCACATAGTCCCTGAGCTCATCATCACCCTTCAACTGGAACCTGACCTGCTCGACCACCTCACGCTGCTCATCGATGCACTCACTGCCCTTGCTTAGCACACGCAGCCAGCGTTCACATCTCTCGGGTGCAGCCTCTACAGGGTTATTCTGAAAAGAGCACTTGTCCACAGAGACCTCCTCCTCTTCTTCGCATGTCTCAGATGTTGCTTCCCTGGAATTATGACTAGAGCACTTCTCCAAAGCAACGTCGGTGTTCAACTTGTCGTCTTTTGTGTCTTTTGCGCCTGCGTCTTCGAACAAAATCGTGCTAACACCATTCGTCACCACGCATTTGCTACTCTTCAGAGATGTTATCCTCAAATATTTGAGCTTTGGGGATTCTGGCGGGGCATTAGGAACTGGAACCCCATTTTGTTCACACCAGGATGTTATCAGACCCTTGATGCAGTAATTAGGTGTCACGGAAAGCTGGGGTAACTCTTTCCGAGTTTTGGGGCAGGTTGTATTCCCACTGTTAAACCATTTCTCGATGCAAGCTCGCTCGTAGGTCTGACCAGATGCGATAACAACAGGGTCATACATGAGCTGCAGAGAGATTGGACACCTTAGTTCCTCAGGTGGCAATGGCATGCTCCCTGATAGCCCTTTAATCTGCTTGAAATTGATGGAGCCAGACCTAGGCAGGAGCTTCTCGAGATTTCCATGGAGATCAGTTGAGCTGGACATTGAAGTGAAGGAGCACGAAGGACTTGAGCACTGGGAGCTGATGGAATCCATTGTTTCGCTCCTGAAATGACTTGAATATTTCCTCATAAGATGTAGCAGATAGGATGCTATTGATTCTTTCTTTGTGTCTTCTTCTGCCTGGGCTCTTTCAAGAAGCCTTCTAAGTGCTCTTCTCTCAGTAAGAGCTGCAGCAGATGATGTAATGCCAGCTCTCAAAATAGTTTGCCGAAAGAATTCAAGTTCATTGTCATCAAGGAATCCATTGGATTTCTTCTCATTCTGAATTATCTGTTTCACTTGATCACCAACTTGCTTTTCAGCCTGATCCAAAGCAAAAACTGAATTCTCCAGCTCATTTGCAATCTCTGGGATCTGAAATTTTCCAACAACAAATAATTATCGAAGGGTTTCGCCAAAAATATATCATCTGAAGAATCACATGCAAAAAAAAAAAACATGAGAAAACAATTAGCGACTACATCAAGGTAGTGAAGAGGAATCGATGCTATGATATAAAAAACTATAATTCCCTGCTTATGGTGAATCCGTCCATGATGAAACATTATATTCTGTAGTAGAAATTCTAGAAACACGTTTGTACATGACCAGTGAAAACCTGAGAATCAATTGCTTCTGGAAGTGTTTCTTCCAACTGGTGAAGACTTTCTAAAAGAGCGCATCTTGCTTTCTCAAATTTTGTAAGAACACATTCTGCTGTTAGGGCCTGCAATACAATAACCATGTTAAATACAAAACATTGCATTGCTGTAAAAGGAAACAGAAATATGAGAAAAATTGTTCTCTAACATCAAGCACAGCCAGCAAGTTTGATGAGCGAGATTGTCCAACTAGCATTAACAATTTTATGATGTAGCAGTGCAGTAAAAGAACAGTTCGTGTATACATAGTCTGATAAGCTTTTACTTCTCAAACATGGAGAGCAAGCATATTCATACAAATGAAAATTATTTACCAAGTAAAGCTTGCTACACTCTGAGCAATACTGAAGCAGATTCTTGGCTTTATCAACAGCTATGCGCAAGGAGCTCAACGCCAGAAGTCCAGAATTACTTCCAGGTTTTGTACTCTCAAGGGCAGGGATGGCAATTGAAACTTCATGAACTATAGTGTAAAGTTTCTTACATAGTTCACCATGTAGCTGCACAAATAATCAAATAACAATCCAAATGAATCTACAATGTTAATATGCCATATTATTGCATAAGCAAAGTACTTCCAATGACAGAGTCAAAGACAGGAAATGTAAGAAAAAAACAGCAGTGTTTATCACAGTTTTCTAACTTACTGTTTGGTGACATCAGAGTGTTCTCACAGAAGAGTCTTATCATATATTCCCTCCTTCACAAATATAAGATGTTTTAACATTTTTATGAATCGGATGTATATAGACACGTTGTAGTGTGCTTGTTTTCCCATTTCAGTCTGTATGTAATCCATATTGAAATATCCAAAAGATCTTATATTTGTGAACAGAGGGAGTACAATACAAACTGGTGGTGGTATTTACTGGATGCAATTTTATTTTCTAGCACAAGAGTGCTTATATACATAACTACATAATCATCACAAGGCACCTAGGAAGTGGAGCCAATGATCAGAAGCTGTGTTCAATGCTTTCCTATATCTAAAGACAGTCCACAGAGAACAGCAAGATTACAATACCATTGCTGAATTAATAGCTTTTGGTGGAATTAGGGGATCGGTCGGATTACCTTCCAATTGCCAGCAACAACAAAGTCCGCGTCAACCTCGACCCTCTCCATGGCGTCCTTTTAGTCAAATTTCATCTGCAAAGAGAGCAATGTATTGAACATGATATTGCTCTTAATCCCCAGCACAAATATGTGATAGGTAACTGGCAAAAGATTCTTTAATGTTTACAAATTGATTGCATTGGCATATATATAGGAAACGGCTCAAATTTCTCACCATGAGTCAGTATAACTAACTTAAATGCAAAATAAATATCAAGTTCTGTTTAAAGAAATACTCCCTCCGTCCCATAATGTAAGAATTTTTTTTACTTAGTGTAGAGTCAAAAATCGAAGGGGAGCCTTGGCGCAGTGGTAAAGCTGCTGCCTTGTGACCATGAGGTCATGGGTTCAAGTCCTGGAAACAGCCTCTTACAGAAATGTAGGGAAAGGCTGCGTACTATAGACCCAAAGTGGTCGGACCCTTCCCTGGACCCTGCGCAAGCGGGAGCTACATGCACCAGGTTGCCCTTTAGTGTAGAGTCAAAAATCGTCTTAGATTATGGGATGGAGGGAGTACAAAACAAAGATGCCTATATCTTACATAAATGGCATCGATCACATAACCTGACAGAAAAACATGTCATCAATTAAGCATGCAGTCCTAACAACATGAAAAATAGCACCAGAAAAAGAAGGTGGCAAAAGTTCTATGGCCATCTGATTCACCCACAATTAGCACACAATTAGAAAATAATAAATAAAACCAATTTAACAAGAGAAGAAGAAAAAGGATGTCTAACCTCCGCAGTTATGCAATCGAAATTGTAAGATGGAAACTCCGGCAACCTTGTTGGTATGGATTCCATTAAGACAAGGTGCTTTTGTGTCTAAAAAGGGATTTTTGCCAGTTCGGCCAACTAAAACTGGAGCAATGACAGCATATTTCATGGACCGA